CAGAGTCGATGGTTTCTTTCATGAGATTGAGATCCGCTTGTTGAGCACCTATTCAAACATAATCAATATATTTTACCGAATAATAGTTTCTATTTGAATGGGAACCATTCAAACATCTCATAAGACGTACCCTTGAGAGCAGTGACCAGCGATCGGATTCTAATACACGATCCCTCGTCATTCATCGTCTCCTGACAATCGAGCTTGTCGCATTTGTCCTGCAGGGTCATGAGTAGCTTGTAATTGCACACGTCGAGCAGCGCGTCCGTAAACTCGTTAGTGACAACTTCGGTCTTCGGAGCCCATTGAAAGACAGTCACTAGTGGAGGGCTGGCGGAGCCGTCAACTGTTTCATCGTATCCTTGACAAAATCACCGAAGGAGTTGTAATCAGCGTCGCTGTGCTCTTCCACGCGTTCTGAAATTACACGGTATATTTTTCAAGTGCTTGTTACACTGAGATAAGAAGGGGCCGCGTACCTTTTACGGAAGAGTTAACATCCGCGAACTGTTTGAGTACCAATACAAGGTCGTTTGTGATTCGCATCGCGTTGTTTATCCTGTGGCGAATGTTCGCCGCGCCGGAGAGCTGAAGCGCAGTCCATACTGGCAGCAAATCGTCCTCCCAGGGTTGGCAGCGGATCGGGTTGTTGGCGGAACGCATGCAGAAGAGGCTTGGCAAGCCGAGCATGCAGAAGTCAGACGGTTTCTAGTGAAAGTATGAGATATAAGTAAAGAAAAATAATTTGTTATTTACCAAGGTAATAGAATTAGCGGCGAGAACAGGAGCGCTTTTTGATGGAATCGTGAAATTTCCAAGCATAGGAATGTTATCACCCTCAAAGTGGCACCAGATCTGGAACTTTCCGCAAATATGGAGCAAGGATTCAACCTAAACGCCGTTACACAAAGCTCTATTTAGAATATATACCTTGTCATCAATCCCACTTTCGCTTCCAAAAGAACCGATCAAAGCGGTGGGCTCTTTTTGAGGATCGTTAGCGTCAGCCTGCACTTGTTTGAAAAGCTTATTCACATCAAAAGGAGTCTAAAATTTGTGTTTATTTTGTTGGAAAAGGCACAAATGTACCTTGTCTCCATTTATTCCATCATTTATTCTATGGACATTAAAACACTCTTTTGGCAAGCCAAGTTCGTTCTGAAAGAACAGAATCCAAGCGGCAGGGATATCGTCTGTTACATAGATAACAGGCGCTTTTACTGAATCGCCTTTGACATATCTTCTGTAGCCAAGAGGCGATTCTTCGTTTTGCTGGTTGTATTTCACAGCTAAAGCGCATCTAGAATGGTTAAAGAGTCTACTTTTCAACGATTAGCGTACCTTAGAGCTTTGAGCATGGGCTGGCGAGGGTCTTTGTAAGCATTGACAGTGGCTGCCTGGAATCGGAAAATATTCCTAATCCAGTTAATAACATCGTCTTGGATTTGGTTGAGAATTTCACAGCGGAACTCTTCATCGACAAGGCCGAGACGATTTTGTAACGAGGATCCTAGCTCGTAAACGGACGGGACAGTGGGAATTTCGAGCTCTTTTCCGATGTCTTCTTCAGCTGAAAAGAGCAGGAAGTATTTAACAAGGACGTTCGAATTATCGGGAGACAGGTGACATTTATGGTGATATTATGAGACTTCCTTTGTGAGTTACCTTTAATCAAAGGAATGTCGGCAGCTTCTGGAGTAGGATCTGCGTTGAATTGTGCAAGAGTAGCCTTAAAACGCATAGTTGCAATAATATGTTTTGGGAGAACGAGAATAGATCATCAGAAGCTCTAGAATCACCTTCAACGACTTCTCCATCTCCTGCCATTCCGGCGACGATTCGAGCTCTTTCTGAAAGTCGTCGGCGAACATCATGGGCGGCGATGTTTCGACAATGCCCAGCCCAGAGTCTGTCATATCAGGTTCTGGGGCTGTATCAGAGCTCATGCTGAACAACGCTCGATAAATACGCTTGACAACAATCATTTTTTGGTTGATTCAGGTTTTCAAATTAATTGATAGACGAAATTTAATTTATATTTTTTTCTTGGAACAAAAAATAACAAGAGGGAAGATAACATGCTAGAAATTTGTAATATCTAAAGAAGAAAAGTCGACAAAACATCAGCTAGATGTTTTGTGCTTCAATAGAAATGCAAAAGAAAGAAAAAAAGTATATGCTGGTCAGAGAGTGGGAGTTTATTTGTGTGAAAATGAGTGGTTACGGAATTTTGAAAAAAGAGTAAACCTATTATCAAGGGACGGAATGTTTGTTTTGGAGACAAAATAAAAACTACAAAACATGAAGGTGTTTGTTTCTAAGCTGAGAAAAATGACGGCATGATTTTGAAAGAGTACCTCTTTTTGCTTTGAACCGGAGCTCTTACGATGAGGGTACCCTTAATTTGTAGGAATGCAAGGCTGTAATCGTGCAAGAGTCAAGAATTCATACGAGTAATAGTGTTTTTGGCATGGTTTATTTTTCTTATTGCTAAATCTAATTTGTTCTTGGCGAGATCCTTCTGGCGAAATTTACTAAATGAGTTGAACCGAGTTGCATCATCTTTGAGGATTTGATTAGGCCTAATTAAATCGATTTTGGATCAAATATATAGCCGCATCAATTGTGGGGACATTTGAGGCCGGCTTATATTCTGTGGTTTTCTGATGCAGAACTCGATTCTCAAGGATTCGTGGGATCTCTGATGCACTAAAAGATCCCTCGGAATAGGACGTTGATAAAAAACCTTTCGATCTATCTATCCATAACTCGTCTAGTTTTGAAGAAATCGGCCTTATTGCACAAGAAGTTGACTACGCTGTCATTGTATTTTTTTATCAAATTTTATTGTTTTTTTTTTCAGTTTTTGGTTGCGTTATAATCTCAGCCTAGAATGAAGCGAAGTAATCTATACATTGACCGATATAAAGATGTCTGGGGCTATGATGTAAAACCTAGGCGCTAGAGCAATAGTAAGTTTGCCCCGGTAATTTTGTAACGGCTCTAAATGTCTCTCTCTTTCTCTTTCGAACCAAGAAAATCGCTCAAAAGTGGGAAAGAATCATCGATCGATCTCTTTTGAATAATTCTAGCGCTCTTTTCACTCACCTATGGTTGTAGGAAGTCCAGTGAACAGGAGCAGGGACCAATCGGAGATCTGGCGGCCTGTAGCTCGGCTTGAAGTCGACAGTATTGCGCCCCTTGACCATTTTGACGCTTTTGTTCTGCTTCGTCTTGTTTTCGTAGTTTTCGCCATTTTCGCCTTTATAGGAGTTGTGATCGTGCTCGCCGTTTTGGATTCGATTCTTCCAATTCAAGAATATCTTCTTTCATCCTTGATGTAATTTTTGGCAGCTCGAGTGCGCTCTCAATCTGATTCAACCTAAAATCGAAAAGACGTTAATTTATAATCATAGTAAGGCGACAAAGGCAGTGAATAAAGAGTTTAAAAGTGAGGTGATAAGTCAAAAGGTGAATTATATACAGTGAAGAAGAAGGAAAGGGGTTTAGTATTTTTCCTTCACCCGTGGGTCGCCTTTATCGAGAAGCACACGGTGTCTGTCTTTGAGTTGGACGTTGGTCCTCTTCGATCTACGGAAAAGCTTTTTCTCGATCGTTTTCCAGTCTTTTCCGTATTGATTGAGGCCTTCAATCAGCTTGGTGTCCTCGTCCTTAATTTATAACAATTAAAGATATAAATCATTTATAAAGAGCTTACATCTGTCCAATTCTTTCTTTTTGAGTCCTTCACGACTGGGGCAAATTCTTTATTCGCACAAATTTTTGTAATTTGGCTTGATGCTGCCCGCGAAGCTTTTCGGCTTGACGCTGCCCGCGTAGCTGGTCGGCTT